TATAAAATATGATCAATACATGATGCATTTGTATTGACTTCAAATACTTGAATAAGTGTGCGCACTGCATGAATTTGAAATAGTAAAAAAAAAAAGAAAAAAGAGAAAAAAGGACAAAGAAGTTACAGAAAATAGTTTTGAAAATGAAATTGAAGAGAGCTAAAATAGTCCTTGAATAATGGCAATAGCACAGAAATTTAGTTCTCAGTTACAAGGTGAAATATTCAATATATATATATATATATTTTTTTAATTATTGACCAAGAAATGACTCGAAAAAAGGTTGGAATTTATTTGATCATGTCTTTCCAAATAAAGCAGAACAGTTGGTTTCCAAATAAACTTCTGCAAAGAAATTATGTGGTTACCACACTGATTTTTTCAGAGAATCCTAAAGAAAAACTTTTCTTAACAATAAAATTCTAAACCTATCACCAGTTAGGGATGGGTATTACTTTAAAGAACTCGAATGCTTAAATGCTAGTGAAAATCCTGAATAAAATGGTATTCAATCAACACTTCCATGAACCATCCCCTCAGTGTTCTAATCAATATTCCTATAATTTAAGGAACGTACTTTTATGATTGATTTAAAAATTGTGTTCATCAAAAATAATTTACTTTAAGATATGTAATCTGTATTCCGAAGTAATAACCCAACAGATACTCTATAATACTTGTGTTATATCGCATTGAAGCGCATACTGCACTTTCTCTCTATTCTGGTTTTAGGTTGCTCACCCAATTTTGTCAATATAACGGAACTATAAACAACTGTCATAAAAGTTGGAGATTTATCTAGCTATAAAACCAGGTATAGCCCACCATTTTCTTCTAAAAATGTCTGTACCAAGTCATCAATATGACAGTTGTTTTCCACTCGTTCCGTTGGTTCATAACCTTTGATTTTGTCAGTTTTTATGGACTTCTCCTTTTTTTAACATTCTTGTCCTTCAGCAAGCATGAGCGTCACTGATCAGTCTTTGTAGACGAAACAAAAAGCTTACAAAATCATAAGTCTGGAACCATTGGTGAGATTACATACTGTAGACCACCAGAGACTGTGCAAACAGATTCTAACGATGGGTGCTCTTTCCATTAAGTGGTTTGAATTCTATTTATAAGACCGTCATCAAAAGGTCAGTGCTAATGTTAAAGTGTAATTTCCTCAGAGTCAACTGTGGGGTTACTAAGGGAAGTATTTTAAGTCACAGCCATGGGTTATAGTCGACAGCAACTTATCTTTCAGTTTAAAAAAGGGGTCTAAGGGAAGACTTTCAAAAATTTAAGTAGTTCAGTATCATATGTAAAGAGCGCACTATTTTTTGGCAACATATTGTGAAGTATTTGGGCCTCAGTGTGGATATTTGGAGACATTATAGTAAAACACTATACAACATACATTGTGAGAGTTTTTCATATGCCATACAATTTCTTCTTCCGGCTGTAATGTTTACATTGTACGAGTTTACACTGAAATGGAACAAGCATAAACATTGTAACTGATATACTAGTAATTGCAAACCATCTTATCATTATTTGGGTCAGAATATTTATCTAAAGATGCGGATATTTTCAATAGGGGCAAGCAAAATCCAACCCCTGAATAATCAAAGTTTTTATTTCTCTTAAAGCATATACGTGAAATTTGTTTTCTATATCCAAGGACCACACATCGCTCTACCGGAACTAAATTTAAAATCAATCTCAAGTTTCTAATGATAGAACTATAGTATACCCCAAATATCTAATCACTCGATCAGGCACTACAGAAAAACAATCTTTTTTTGTCCGAGAACTAAAACTCATGCAAACAAATATCCAAAACACTCAACTGCTTCCATACAACTGGAACGAATCTCAAAGTCGATCTGTAAACTTTTTGTGATAGGACTATGTATGTATATACATCCAAATATCCAGTCAAGCGTTTCAGGCATTACTGACAAATGTTTAAAAATGGACATGTTTAAGAATTTTTGTATATGCCAAGTCTACTTCAAAATTTCGCTCAACCAGAACAAAATTGAAAATTGAACTGTAACGTCTTGTAATAATAATGATAGTTTATTGATTCCTGCATTACTGAAAAAGTGTTGAAAAACGTATTGTCAATGCCAAAGGAACACAACTACGTGAAACATCGTTAAACATGGAACGCAGGTCAAACTTCTTTTGATATGACTATATATCTTTCCAGTTTGTTCAGGTATAACAGAGAAAAGTGCCGAAATTTTCAAGTTATTTTCTATTTCCATAGGTAAGAACTTACACAACAATCAATCCATTGGAACAAAACTCAATCTCGATCACAATCAATCCGTTAGACAAAACTCAAAATCGATCACAATCAATCCATTGGAACAAAACTCAAACTCGATCACAATCAATCCGTTGGACAAAAACTCAAACTCGATCACAATCAATCCATTGGAACAAAACTCAAACTCGATCACAATCAATCCATTGGACAAAACTCAATCTTGATCACAATAAATCCGTTGGACAAAACTCAAACTCAATCACAATCAATCCGTTGGACAAAACTCAAATTCGATCACAATCAATCAGTTAGAACAAAACTCAAACTCGATCACAATCAATCCGTTGGACAAAACTCAAACTCAATCACAATCAATCCGTTAGAACAAAACTCAAACTCGATCACAATCAATCCGTTAGAACAAAACTCAAACTCGACCACTATCAATCTGCTAGAACAAAACTCAAACTCGATCACAATCAATCCGTTGGACAAAACTCAAACTCGATCACAATCAATCCGTTAGAACAAAACTCAAACTCGATCAGTAAGTTCGTATGACATGACTGTGATACAAATACAAATGTAGCATTATAGTAAAAAGTGCGGAAAAGTTAACGGACGGACGAACTGGCGGATGGAGGGCAAACTGATAGCCCTTTGGCTTCGTTGAGGGGGGACTAGAAAGCAAATGCAACATTGCAGTGCTTTTATAGGAAAGCTAAAATGTCATGCACAGAGAATCCAAGACAAAAAGTTGTAGTCTGGCTTTATTTCAAGATCATTTGACAATTATTGTTTATCATGACAATCTTGGGGGAATAAGACCCTAAGATATTAGTTTCATATAATGTAAATTCAAATAATACTAGTATAAGATTTATCAAACCCACGGCTATAATAGTAGAAACGGGTATGCAAGTTCTATACTTTCTGATACTGGTTCGTTCAATGTTGAAAAAATGAAACAAATGCGGCTAAATTACAAACATGTAATATTTTACAACAATTTCCAAATATGAAAAACAACTGTGTGAAAATTTGTAATTCTCATCTGTATAATACAAGAAACAGTAAACTTTACTTTTAGTTTCAATCTGTTTTAATGGCCAATCAGTTAAAACTTTTTACTTTAATATGCAATCAAATGTTGAAATAGTTTATCAATTCAACTTTAAAAAAGTACAAACTATTGATGCATTTGAATTTGCTGTGTTGCTCGATAAATCAATGCTTTCAATGAATTTGCGGTAAAAAAATAATGTTGTTTTAATTTGAAGGCCGTTACAGGATCATTTCTTCGAAGTACCCCCCATTGCAATGAGGATTAATGCTTTGACGACGAGGCCGGTTTTTTTTAACGACCTTGACTACCCCCCTCGCCCCAAAAACAAATGTTATCTGAGCTAAATATTATCTTTATGAGAGGGTCTTGATGGGGTTTACAGAATAGAAAATAATATGCAATAAGTTCAGAATAAAGTGTAAAAAATATAAAGAATATAGAAAAAAGAGCAAAAAAATAGATAAAGAATAGAAAATAATGGGATGCGAAAATATATAGAATGGAGAACAATGGGAAAAATATAAAGAATAGAGAACAACAGGCAAAAATATAAAAAATAGAGAATAATGGGCAAAAAATAGAAAGAATAGAAAGAAAAGGACGAACAATAAAAAATAGAGAATAATGGGGGCTAAAATATAAAGAACAGAGATCAATGGGTAAAATATAAGGAATAAAGAAATGAAGGACCCCCAATCCAGAACAGGACAGGAAGTCACAGGACAAAAAGTCACGGACAAAAAGTCACAATTCAGTTGTTTAGAATATTTTTCTTTGAACAAGAAAACACTAATTTTAAAAATATTTTATTTTGTCTTTTTCTTTTTGAACTATTATATATAAAGCAACTTTGTAATTAATATTAATTCAATAAATTTCAACAATGATCAAATAATTGTTATGAAAACAAAATGTCAAAGTGGCTTGGTACTTAATGGCTTCATGGTGCCAAGAAATATATCCTTTGCATGATTAAATTTCAATACATTTTCATTTATCAAGGCTTATGAACAGTTTCCTCAACTTAAAAATGAATAGATGTAATAAAAAGAAAATATTTCAAGAAATTTCTCTTATATATTCAAACAATTGTGAACAAATTATTTGTGACTTTTTGTCCTGTGACTATTTGTCCTGTGACTTTCTGTCCGTTTACCCCAATCCAGACCCTCTTATATTGCTGAAATTGAAATTAAACATAGTCACTATACTTTGTTTTAGATTTTTACTTTTTTTTATATTTATGTGAACTTGCATTCATGTTGTATGTACTGTGTATTTTTGTATTGATGAAATTTTGTTTATGGTCGGATGTAGCATCTAGAATGATCTATTTAATTGTAACTGGATTTGACATACATAATGTACTTATATCATGCGCGTAACCCAGAAATCAACAACAACAAAAAAGCTAAACAAATATTCATACATAGAAAGCTATTTTGAAAACAATTGCTAACCCAAAAACACGTTTTCTCCAGGCAAGTTATCATTTAGAATACATTTGCATAATATATTTATATTATCTGACCAAACTGCTATGAGGCTAAACTCTTTAATAAATCATCAACCTCCGTGTTTTGAAATTTGCAATTATTAATGACTTTTTTTGAAACAACACGTTTTCTGTTTTTAGTATAAATAGCGTACGTTTATTCCAGGGAAAGGTATTATACACTGTGGAGAAGAAACGACAATGATAGCAGCATTGATTCTATTAACAGTAACAGGACTTGTCTGTGGGGTCCAAGTCATGAATGATGCCAGTTTAAAAGGTAACTATTTGTTTTCATCTTATGTCTTTCTATTCTTCATAGGAACACCAGACGACCGTGTTAAAATCATAACTTTATAGGCACGAAAATTATGCGAAAAAATATTTAGTCCTTCTTGACATCTCTACAAGAGGTGTGGATGGAGGTTTACAGAATAGAGAATAAGGTGGTGCTAAAATATAAAGAATAGAGAATAATGGGCAAAAAGTATAAAGAAAAGAGAAAAATGGCATAAAAATTTAAACAATACAGAAATGAAGGACCCCCCACCAGACCCTCCTACAAGGTAAAGACACTACGCTCAATCATCAGCTAACGTCAACATGTAGAACAGTAAATCAGCGCTGTTTCTTTATTTTGGTATTAACATGTATTTCATAAAGTTTTGTCTCAAAATACGTCATATCTATGACTTTTCGTTTTTAATATCATGCTATTTTTATTTACAAAACAATATCGTATATCTGTTTTTGATTAACCGCAGTTCTTATATCACCAGTCAGCATAACTGAGTTAAATCTGAATAGGTTTTAAAAGGAATTGTATTGTAATATTGATTCGTTTTTCGAATGGTCAGTTTTCCTTGCAAAGGGTGGTGGTTCTCTCCCGGCACTGCGTCTTCCTCCGCCGATACAAACTAACCGCCATGAAATAGCCAAAAGTGCTGAAAATGGCGTTCAACACCAATCAATCAACCAATCAATTAATCAATCGTTTTTTGAATTTTATGGCTAAATAATGGCCTTTTCACACAACGTACCATATTATCTATAATATTAGGATATTTGAGAAATAATGTTCATTGTCAAAATGATGTTACGTTTTAGACAATTTTTGATAAACCAAACTTATATTTACTATTTTGTATGTATTGGACAACAATTTAAGACTCCTTTATGGTTTATTGAAATTTATTACAGATGTCGACATTGAGGCAAGAAGAGAAGTCCTTGGTAAAATCGTTGACAAATTGAATTCAATAGCTTTGGAACAAAGGTCTCTAATTGATGGATGTGAAGAACAAATTAACAACACTGTAGACGCATGTAACGCTTGTCGGCAAGATCTATGTCAGCCGTAAGTATAAACTGACAAATTCATTTCCTGTCGAAGATATTTTGCTTTTTAAACTGATTTTAATCATACGTTCATGTTATTCCAACATCTTCAAGCACGAGTTTTAAAAAACCAAACCGCAAAAGGCGGTGGAAATGGCATTTTCCTTACACTAACCGATACGCATGCATGCCTGTAAGAGTTCCCTAGTTTTTTTAACTAGTATACGTGTATAACAAGTCACGAAATAACAATCACCTGTTCCATTAAAACACTTTTTCCAGTATAAAATATAAAATGCCAACATGATTGTCAAAAGAAACGTGGTATTAAAATCAGATTTCACTCATAATTCATAATCATATTGAAAATTCCAGTATTTATTTATTGTTTCATACTCGAGTATCATGGTCGATTCCCAAGGAATTATAAATTTGTATCATCAAAATCATTTCATTCTTAATTAGTTGCATTCCACTTATCATTATTTGATACTGTAAAAACAAATCTTGCAATCCATATTCATATATATTCAGTACACATTTTCGTAACGGAAATTCAAGAAAAAAAATGTTCACTAAGATTCAAGTTGTCTGCTGTTGTTTCTACAATTCTTGGCAATCTTCTTATTTTCTATCAATATAAAAAAAAGGAGATGTGGTATGATTGCCAATGAGACAACTATCCAGCAAAGTTCAAATAAAGTGGATATAAGCAATTTTAGGCAACTGTACGGACTTTAACAATGAGAAAAACCCATAAAAGGGCACCACATGAAAAATATGAAACAATTCAATTGAGAACACTAACGGCATAATTTATAACAAAACAATTTACGAAAAAAAAATATGACAGACATGAACCAATGCCAACCACTTAACTACAGGCTCCTGACTTAGGACAGGCACATAAGGTCGTTTCCATTGATTTGAGAAAGTTCACTTGCTAAAAAGAACAAATTGAAAATTGTTCATCACATTGATTATTCTGAAGAAACCATTAAAATCTAATATCATTTTCATAATGGAAAAATGCGAGCAGAGGATGAATTTTTTAACAACTTTTAGTTACTAAAGTGTTATATGTTTCAGTACACAATCAGTAGATCAAGTAGTTTTAAACATGTTGTCCACGGGTGCCAATACAGGAATAGCATTTGCTGGAAAGGCATTAGAGGACGCTGGGGATTGGTTCAAAAACTCCGGTGATTGGATGGGAGATCAAGCAGGGATATTTTCACATAGACTCTCAACACTTGCAAATACCATTGCTGATCAGTTTGAGAGGTCAGGACAAGCGGAATTGAACAAATTGAGCAACGGATTTAGAAATCTAGGACAAGATTTTAAGAATGTGGGCGATAAAATAAATACGGCACTTGGAAATCCTTTGGGAGGATTTATGAATCTTGGAAAGGGCATCGCAAACCTCGACAACTATATCGGAACTGCCTTATCTGGAGTTAACAACCTTTTGAATAGTTTTGCTAATACCATGGAATCCTGGGGAAATTCGATCAAAAACTTCTTTACAGGTATGTGCATGCATTTTCACTTTTTACTTATTGAAATAGTAGAAAGTATATTACTTTGATAATGATAATGTATATATATATTTTTACAAATCGCCGTTATCTGATGCAAACTAAATCCAATTAAGCCTGTTCTTTACACAAAACCACAAATGTTACATGATACTTAAATGCATTTAGTATTTGTATACTCTTCACATAGTTCCAAAGAAAACTGTATTAATAGTGAATATTTTCCTTCGACATTACTACTGGGCCAACTGTATAGAAACTAGGACCCCTGTTACAGCAAGTGACTTCTCTAAAACATAAGGTACATATTAAGTAGTCACTTGGAGTGTGTAATTAAGGGCGACCATAAACCAGCGAAAATCAAGGGAACCACCGCTGCAGCCATCCATATTAGAACCAAAATGAAGCTAAATGAGGAATTCAACATCAAATACATAGTAAGGGGATTTCTGTAGTTTTAGGCGCTACTTTCTGAAATGATATCAGTTTTAGATGGGAAGCATCATTCTTTAGAAAATGGTAAATAGTTGTGTCCAATCCCCGATCGGGTAAATCCTGTCGGTTTGAACTTTCCTGATAAAGGTAAATACAAAAAAGCGCGTCGGACACATTAAATTTGCAAAGCTTTATTTTATTTTTGTGCTATCCAATTATTCATTCAAAGGGTCAAATCAGGCTTAAAACGGAACCATAAAGTTTAGTATTCAAATTGTGTAAGGTAAATTTGCCCTGTGTGCTCAAAGTAGATAACAAGCAACATCAAGTACGAATATTGAAATTGGAATATGGTAATTATTTTTGTCTACGATCTTTCAGAGATGTGTCTAAACTCTAACGTGTTACATTTTAGGTGTCGGTTCGATACTCTTTTCTTATATTTTGGCATTACACAAAATCAAGCGTTTCTCTGAACGTTTATGACGTCTTTACATTTACTCCGATGAATGTGTATTGATCGATACTGTAGTCTTGGAGAACATCATTTATTTATTAGTTGCTATTGGCTTTGAACTTGCTTTCAGTAACTGCGAGTACTTTTATTTTGGTGCTTTGTGTCTATTGTTTTTGTTAGTTGTTTTTATGCCTCGTACCGATCTTTTGAGTTAAACCAATTGCAACTAATTCTTACAGTTCTTATGTTGTGCTGTAACACCACTGTCCAAGGTTATTTAGGAGGGTTGAGCTCTCACAAACATGTTTAACCCCTCCACATTCTTTATGTGTCTGTCCAAAGTCAGGAGTCTACAATAAAGTGATCGTCGTTGGCTCATGTTTATCCTATTTTTCCCCCTAAATTGTTTTGTTTTAAATATGGCCGTTAGTTTTGTAGTTGGAATGTCTTACAATTTCCATGTCGGGGCCTTTTATAACCGACTATACGGTATGGGTTTTCTCATTGTTGAAGACCGTATGGTGACCAAATTTCTTACTACCACTTCACTTTAATATTGGTGGATAATTGTCTCATTGGCAATCATACCACATATCCTCATTTTTATGTTAAAACATTTATCTGTTTATGCTTTAGGTAGAAGAAGAAGAATGTTGTTGGAAAGAAGATGCGTAGCTAGCTGCCCAATTTGTGACAAACTTGACAAGGACAAATATACTGTTGAACAAATGACAACAATGAGTAAGTTACTTGAAAAAGTTTCATAAACAATCTTAGTTTTCTCAATTGAATTGTTTCACATTTTTCATGTCGGAGTCTTTTAAAGACGACCATACGGTATGGGTTTTTCTCATTGTTGAAAGCCGCGCGGTTGCTTATAACTGCTAACATCCACTTCATTTGAATTTGGATGGATAGTTGTCTCATTGGCAATCACACCACATCTCCATATTTTTATATTAAAACCATATGTTAACTTTTTGATGGGCGTGTACGTCTTGTTTGGTTACTTTTTGGTTGATGTTAACTCCCTATGTTTTATTCGTAAGACCCACCTCTGCTTGTTGTTCTGTCGAAAATTGTTGACGAAAAATGGTCAGTTTTGATCATTACTCCATTGTAAAAAGTGTATGTGTTTGATTGTATTGTACATATTGAGTTGACTGAACATCAAACATTTCCTGTTACTTTGAACACGGTAATATTTTATATAATTTCGATTTTTCTCGTAATCCTATTCAATAGGATTCACGTTGGAGATTGGACAAAAAATAAAAATAAACTAATAAAAAAGACGAGCAAGTCCACACAACTCTACACAAAGTAGACTAACACAAACCTCACCCAAAACCGAGGATGAACGAGAGCTAGAATATCAGCTTCACAAATGACATTAAACAGTTTTGAAAGGAGATATCTTTCCGCAAAAAGAAAAATCAATAATATGAAGCATGTTTGAGTAAAAATTGATTTTTAAAAATATCTATCCAGCCTAAAAAAAGACAATTCTGATTTTCTGAATAATGGCCAAAATATAATGAATAGCGAAAAATGAGTCAAACAAAATATATATAAAAAAATAGAGAATAATTTGGTTCAAATATATAAAAATAACTATGGAAAATAAAAGAATAAGTTTATACAATGCTGAATACAGAAATGAACCATGTACAGAAAAAAATCAAGTTATTACAAATAAATCTAACAGTTAACTAAATTTCAAGAGAATCTTACAGAATCAAACTTAGTTTTAAAGATAAAAGAAAAATGCCCCGAAAAAAACAAAGAATACAGACATGAAATGTCCGTATCCAGACCCTCATATTACATTAGTAATGTAAAGCCGATTATCTTTGGTTTTTCTATTATAGCTATTCCTTTGCTTTTTGTGGTTTTTTTTGCTGTGCATGTACTGATTTTGTGTCATGGATGGAAACCTCATATCCTTTGTTTTTCTATTAAATCATTTGGTTAGTTATTTAAGTTTGTATTATTTTATTTGTAGTTTGCGGGCAAACAACTGTGTCCAGCCAGAATACTGCCATATCTGACATTGCATGGCTTAAAACTACATTTAATGATACAATTGATAACACTATCGTTACAAAGGTAATGTTTTGATATAGTTATATGTATGTATGTGGAGCAGGACCTGCCTATCCTTTCGGAGCACCTGAAATTCCCAAGTTTTTGTTTGTTGCTCAGAATTTAGTTTTCTACGTAGAGTTTTGTAGATTGTTGTTTGTCTTTTCGTCGTTTTAATTTTTTCTGTGAAATTATCAGTTTTCTTCGATTTGTGATTTTGAATGAGACTTTGGTATCTTCAGCCTCTTTCTTTACTTTGTAGTAGTTGCAATATACCATATACGATCATATATCATACACACAAGACCCAGAAGATACCAAAAGGAAACCCAAAACTCATATAATGATGCTATTATTACTTGTTCAGTGTTTCTTTATATTAAATTCTGTTGTCCCAAGTTAAAATCAAATTGCCTTGAAAACGTTAGTAGGTCCAGGAACAACTACAGTTGCCATTTATCAACATTTAGACTTATTTGGCTTATCATCGTGCAAGAAAAAAACCCGAAAGAATTTTTTTTTCAGTATATTATGTTCGTGAAATTGTTTATTGAAATGAAAGTGAATGGACCCAATGAATCAAAATCAAATATAAAATTAAGATAACACATGAAAAGGACAAATAGACCAAGAGATCTAGTTCTTATTGCTTGAACTTCAGTTTTCCTTACTAGTTGTCATTTCATTTCTTATTTCTCTTTTGCAATTGGGTTGTATGTGTCTTCTTTCTTATACGTTGAATTATTCCACATCTTCTTCTTCTTCTTCTGGTTAAGTGTAGGACTCATTTTGAGTATATCCATACTGACGCATACGTACCATAGCAGTACAGCTCTCCTCTATATACAGTTAAAAAAAGAGTATTTACAGTTAAAATCCAATAATTACAATTTAGGAGATGGTGGATGAATGGGTAAAGATTTATTAGCAAGTCATTAAACTGTATAAATTGTGTTGTTTTACTAGTATATGTTAATCAACCGAAAGTTTTAGGCCACTGCTGATTTTAAAGTTTCTATAAAAAAAATTTATGATGTTCAGTGGTTGTCGTTTGTTCATGTGGTTCATAAGTGTTTCTCGTTTCTCGTTTTTTGTATAAATTATACCTTTGGTTTTCCTGTCTGAATGGTTTTACACTAGTCATTTTTGGGGCCTCTTATAGCTTGCTGTTTGGAGTGAACCAAAGCTCCGTGTTGAAGGCCGTACTTTGACCTATAATGGTTTACTTTTACAAATTGTGAATTGGATGGAGAGTTGTCTCATTTGCACTCATACCACATCTTCTTGTATCTAATTAGCACATAGACTGTATATGCATGATAGAACATGTAGTGAATTTCGGATTTCATCTATTTTTCATTCATTGAAATATCTTAAAATCAAATGATGAGTTTAGATCAAACTTAAAGCTAATAACATCTGCTATAAACGTTGCCGATGGTTCCACCATAAGTGAGATACGACATGACATATTGTTTCTTCATGACTTTGACTGAGATAAGCAATGTTTGGTAATACATAAATTATATTGATTATCTATTTACCATTGAATAGACTAATGCTAACATACTTCATCAGTGCACGTTTATTCAATGCGTGGTGAGAAATACAAATGCTTACTGTCACCGCAATGTAGATGATAAAAAAATATCACCCTGAATCTGTCATTTTTGTAAAATCGTAAAATGGAAACACCAAATTTCGAATAATTTAGACCCAATACAGTTTTTATCACGTTAACAAGGAATGGTAGCATCTATCTAATTTTTTTAAAAGATTTACACAACAAAATATATATAATATAACCATGAACGAATACTGACACACTTTATAAGAGTACACATAATTTTGTAAAAAAAATAAATTGAATGAACGTGCTCTCCATGACAATGTTTCAATTAGAAGGAATATGCAAGACAAAAAAAAATGAAAGGATTGATTACACTCGTATTGTCTTTATAATAGCATAGCAATATAATTATTAGATTTGTATACTTGTGCTTGAGCGCTTTATGCAAAGTATGACTTAGGCCATTGACTTTTTATGACATCATAATAAAAAAAAATGCATTCAATTTTGAAATAGAAATCCAATCTCATATATTAAATTCGTGTTTGTTATATTTTCATTCACTATCTTTTCATTGTAAAATAAATTGTCGTTAGTTGCCTGTATGACATAACAAAAAACACGAAGGTGAACATAATCTGCTATTTGCCACACATGTTTTAGGTTGATTACGATACAGCATCAATTCAGTTCGTTAATGGAGCAGTCGTTTTTAGTACTTCACATTATGAAACAGCTGATGGAGACAGAAAGAAGTATGGACAGATCCTTAACATTGGTAACAACACCGAAACTGGAATTGGAATCGCCTCCGAATATTTTACAAAAATATTTGACGCACGTGTTACGGTTTAACCATTTCAATTAGAAGATATTAGTTGCAGATATTTTATCATATTATTTTCGGAACTCTATCTTTTCTTCTGCAATGACATTTTTTCTTGATGCAATAAAAATAGTTACTGATTGTCCTCATTACATAATTTCATGCCCACATCTCGTAATGTTTCTAAAAAGAAATTAGTCAGACGCCTTGTGCCTGTGCCACGTCAATTTTATACCAGGTTTAATTAACCCACCATTTTTTTTCGGAAAATGCCTGTACCAAGTCAGGAATATGGAAGTTGTTTTACTTGGATTATTGAATGATAGCGTTTAATTTTGTCAGTTTTTATGGACTTTTCCCTTTTTGAATTTGCCTTGGAGCTCGATATATTTGTTATTCTTTTTTTTTATGACCAGGCACCCGATCTGGATCCTACTTGGAGTTAACGCAATTCCCTCAGTTTAAGCTTACCTGTGCGAAATGACCTTTTCTCACCAATTAGCGTCCGTTGTCCGTCGTCAGTTAACTTTTTTCAAAGGGTGGAATCAAAAGTTTTTCTACATGACGTCATATTGTGAGGGACCATGCTTAAATGACCCATAAGTGGTGGTTTTGTTTATAAAGATACTTGTATGAAGCCAGATATCACTGGATTCATAATTTTCGCAAGTTTAAAATGGAAAAAAATAAGTGTAATTTTAACATTATCAAAAAGTTCTGCTAAAAACAAATGTTAAAAAATTATGAAATCAGGTCATGTGTAGACCCATGCAGGCATGATACAGGCACTTTTTTCGGATAATAAAACCAGTATGAATTTCAAAGATTATTGCATGGTCTACTGAAAAAGTCTCATTACAGGGTCATTCTCCAGCTCCGGAAACAGCTACATTAGCTACAAACTAGATTTCAAATTTCCCTTCGACAAAACAGAAAGTTGACAGAGTTGTCTCCCTTTAAATCATGTTTATTTTTTTTCTTATTTTCAAAATAATTTTGATCTTTGAACAAGTTTTTCATTGAAAGTTAACTAACTAATTCTCACTAGGAAATACAAAAAAAAAATATGATGTTTTTTTTTCACTAATTAGATAATAAACCTGACTATTTTCATTCTGAGAATAATCACTAGATTCATACGAAACTTGATTGTACCCAAAAATCATCTTCTCTAAAACCAGTGCTAAATCTAACCGAACTAAGGGGCAATCAGCCATGGCTTATCAGGATTAAAATTGTGTCCGATGATCCCGCTTGCCAACCAATAAGGCTGCTTATGCTAAAAATAGAATATAGGGGTAAATTGCAAATATGATTTTTTGTTTTGAAAACAGTTAAGGATAGAGAAAATCACACAGGAAAAATATTAAGATTGATTGATTGTTGATTGCTTATCGTCAAGAAAAATATTACGAATGTCACGATTTACTCAATGTCTATTTTGTCAAATGACTCTCTTTGCCCTTAAATAACGATTTTTACCATTTTTATGCAGATTATCTTGAAAACTATAATAGTCAGTTAAAAAAAAAAACATAATTTATTTATATGATCAGCAAGACAAGATCTACAAAGAAGTCGATTTGCTTAAAATCGTCAGTCGATTACTTAATAGAGATATTACCACTAAATGAGGGTTTTTCCCAACTATTTCGGTTTTTGCCTATTATACCGTTATCTTGAAAAATTATGATATACATGTATATAGAAAAACTTTCAACAGCAAAAACGAGTAATTTAAATTAAGGAGACAGTAGTTTACCAATGTTCAAATATCGTAAATCGAATAGGATGTATCAAATCAATGTAACAAACAGAAAATAATATAGTGTCGATTTGAGTCTTCTTCATCAAAGTTCTGTTGTAGCAGTTTTGTGTAAGGAGAACATCCTGTTAATGAATTCCGCTAAGTGTGAACGTGCATGAGCGTAACGTATTAACAGATTTATGTTACTTAGATTTATTTGTTTGATTTTTTGAGTCAGTTGTGTTGTATATCTTTGATGTATGTTTACACAGTTTTTGCCGCTGGATCTCAATTATTGTCACAGTAACCTATTATGTCTGTTTGGATTGCTCACCCAATTTTGTCAATAAAACGGAACTATAAACAATCGCATAAAAGAGGGAGATTTAGCTAACTATAAAACCAGGTTTAACCTACCATTTTCTTCGGAACATACCTGTACCAAGTCAGGAATATTGCAGTTATTTATTACTTGTTCCGTTGATTGATAGCGTTTGTTTTTGTCAGTTTTTATGGACTTCCCCTTTTTGAATTTGCCTTGGAGTTCGGAATTTTTTTTTATTCTTTTTTACTGCTAAGAAATTGAAAGCTGACAACTGGTAAGTTGAAATCATCACATTTGTCATAGATTCTATTTTGAAGTCGTCCATCTGTGTCAATATCGAGGAACACATCAAGATATGGAGTAGACCTTCTACTTTCGGTGGTATCATTAATTTCAGGTTCACTGGTATATATGAGATGTAAGCACTCAATTGAAATGTGGGTTATTGAGTGACTGAACATCATCAATATATCTGAAAGTGAAATTAAGAAACTTTTTAAGAAGCTTTTTCTTTTATCCTTTGAGAAGATCAGTATGAACTCTGCTTCATATGAGTACAAAAACAAGTCGGACAGTAGTGGTACACAATTAGTACCCATTGGAATACCGACTGTTGCTCAGTCTTTAGTTATAATTCACGTTGTGTTTTATAGACAGTTATTTATCTTTTTGTATAAAAAGGCGAAATGTGGGTGGCACGTAGGGGTTAAATGCGTATATAGTGTATTATGTTTATAGTTAATACACTTGCTGAACGTAAATAATAAGTTAGATAGTTTTCATTGGTTAAGTTAGAACTGTCCATGATATTTAAATAAGGTGCTTTCAAACATTTCGTGTTAAAGTTTTGGCAGTTGTTCGTTTTTGGAGCAGCAAAGTTATTATAGAAGGTAGTCCAATGTCTGAAGGTGAGACTGCGCATTCGCACATTTCAACTGGTAATTCACAAAGTTGTAATCATATATCAGAAGAGCGCCGTGATTTGGCCGAACTTTTTTTTCTTTATAAAAATATTTTGACAAAATGCATGAATTTACGAAAATTCACCCCTCTTTGACAATAAACTAGTTGATCTTAAATGAGATTTGGTCCGTTAACAGGACGTTATTCCAAAAAGCTCATAGAAGAAGTTTCGTTAAATAATTCAAGCACGAGGACAATAAAATCATTCACTAAGAAGTTATTTCCGATCCAAACAAAAAGTAAAATAACAAAAATACCGAACTCCAAAGAAAATTCAAAACGGATAGTCCGTTATCAAATGTCAAAATCAAACGTTCAAACACATCAAAGGAATGGAGAACAACTGTCATATTCCTGATTGTGCATTTCCTTATGTAGAAAATAGTGGATTAAACCTGGTTTTATAGTTAGCGAAGCCTCCCACTTGCATGACAGTTGTTTATAGTTCCGTTATATTGACAAAATTGGGTGAGCAACCCAGAGACATGATAGGTTAATGTGTCATGATTCATAGCTTTGTTCCCTGTTCTGGAACGAAGGTATCTCGTATTATAATAGACATCATTTACAAAGTCATACGTACAGCCGATACTTCAGCTGGTGGTTGAGCTACTATCAGAGAATATGAGTAAAATGCCATCGCTTCGGATTGTGAAGATGGAAAGAAAATCCGTCGGGCGGAGAAACTGCGCCTAATCCTTATTATGTCAATCAGTACCAGCGTCTGAACCCGCCGCCATTTCGAGCTGGCAGCGGGCGACTTGAGCCGTCCCAACATGACATATGCAATGCTTGGAAGTGAATTGGTAACTGGTGACAGAATTGTCAGCTACTCAAATCCAACCAGTTCAACACCAACAAAACAACACAGAAAATTTTACAACGAACATGTAGTTAATAATAAGTATTTTTATTTTTTGTCTGATTTTGATTTTGAATATTTTAATAACATAAACGGTACCAATTTTGATGCACCAGAAGCGCATTTCGACAAATTATGTCTCTTCAGTTATGCTCGAGGCCAAAATATATTAGAATATCCAAAATCTAATACAGATATTGAAGAACGGATCAAACCAAGAAGGACCTAAAATAAAGTCAAATTCGGACAAGGAATCAGATTGAGATTTTGCTTAGACAAGTAAGATTTCTTGAAAATTTTAAATCTAACATGGGTATTTTCTTTGGTGTTAAGGGAATGATAGCTTAGAGTATTAAATCTAACATGGGTATTTTCTTTGGTGTTAAGGGAAGGATAGCTTAGTGTATTCAGTAGTGGGAGCATATTGGTGCTGTTATTTTATACACAACGAAAAAAATGGATATCTTATTGCATTTATTGATAATCCTTCGACATGTGCATGAAATAATAAATCTGCTCTCCAGAATAACAAAAATGGTAGCCAATCTGTTGATGAACTTGTTCTTTTAGGTTGCGTTGTTGAAGTACCATTTCAACCTTAAATTGTCAATCTGCTGAGCGAAGTTATCCAAAATCCTGGGAAAAAAAGCGCCTTATTTTAGATTTGAGCACTTCGAATTTTATTGATGATTTTTATTTGGATATATGCCCACAGCAACATACATGTTTGGGATTTTCTTAGAAAGAGAAATTGTATTGTTTTACCATTTTAGCATTTGGTCTTTCCACGGTCCCTTAGACTGTTGTGTCTTAGACCATTGGTCAAGTATTGGAGAAAAAATGGTATAAAAATCGTTTAATATCTTGATGCCGATTTTGGAATGAATAATGACAAAAATGTATGAATGAAAGATGCTGAATTCGTGTAACAATCACTTTTGAATGCTGGGTTTCTTCTTAACGCGGAAGCAATCAGCTTTTTACTTCTTTTACTCCAAGTTAGGTATTTTTTGGGATTCTAGTAATTTCACTTTATGCATTCCTCAAAGGAGGAATGACGAATTATTACAATCTATTCTTAATGTTTAAAAACATATTCCAAATATTTCTGCCAGAAATTCAGCACAGGAAACGGGTACAATTATAAGTAGGTTTCCTGTGATCGGAAATATTTCTAGAATAATGACTAGATATTGTTACATATATATTGAAAGTAGAATGTCATGAGATAGTTATTTAGTTTT